GCCCTTTGATTGCCTTTTCCCTCCTGAAAACGGTATCATTATTTTTTCAACAAAAGGAAGTAAAAATAATGACAAATTATGACGAGTGGTAGAAGAGGTAAACCTACTCATAATCACCTTTGAATCAAATCTTGGGATTTGGGGAAGGGGACAGATCATTGTAAAGCCCAATGGTACTAATTCGAATATAAGTAAGCTTTTGCTGGATTGTTCATGAGCACGTTTTACATAATTAACACAATAATCTGTTCTCAGTTCGGTACGAGGTTACTTTGATAGTTTCCTCTTACGTGACTGCGTCATTTTGTAACAGTTTGAGCGCTCTGTTTATTTCTGGATCGTGTTCTAGCAGTCCTGGTTTGATCACGGCTCAGATCGCTTCTAAGCATCCTGTTACTAGCCCATGTAAACATTGCCTGTGGAGGCCTCCTCTAACGGCATCCCAAACACATGATTTTACATTCAAGGAAAGCTTTCGTCTTTCTCCATCTAATTTATCACAAACATTCTTAATCAGACTTCGCTAGTTACCCTCTAGGCCATACAGCATCTGAGGAGATGATTACGGATACAACGCAGATAGAAAAGAAATCTTTAATCGGTGTTCGGCTCAGCAGCATTACTGCTCTACCACGCTGATTTTTTGTCAGCTATTGATATTCATTTAGTCTGAATAGAAAATTATTTAGATATCTAAATATTGAAACGTCTCATTCGTTTCTAATTTCTTATTGTCTTTTGTACTTTAGCGATGCCGGTAATGAGTCCCCATCGTTGTCTTCCACATCCACTTCGAGCACTAATTCCTCTCATGTGGGACGTACAAAACGTGCGCGTCAGACCATTGCTTTGCCTCACGTGGCTGACATAATCATGCAGCATCGAAGACGTGTGCTCGGGTCCAAATGCCACGTGACTTTATCCGGTTTGGCCCCCTCACACATCCCGGCTGATCGTTGCCTTGCCGGTCGGATTGTCCGGAGTCTGGGTGCGGTGTTGCATTTCGGGTTACGTTTACCCCCATTCGTTTCCGCTATAAGCTCGAATTCGAAACCTTCGAATGAACCGGTAGAGCAACCTGGGACGGTACCGAAGGAACCGAGTGATACCAATTCGAAGTAAGCAAGTTGAACATATGCAGTCCTACTGATTCAGAAATAGTGATCCTGATCTGGGGCTTGGTTTGGATGGTTGTGTGCCGTTAATCTGGGCTTTAGCGCCTGTGTGCGCTGGACGGGCATTAATTACACACACACCAGTTACAATCTACAAGGTTTTTCCGTCTTGTCTTTGAAAGAACGTAACTTTATTCATGAATGAATACTACTATTGAGATCTTAATATCTGTTCTCTGTTCCGGAATAAAGTCTAGTGCCCGACAGTGTTATTCTTCACGTTTAAGGGCCATCCTTAACATTTGGATGAATCTAGAAAACACGGTAACTCGCGTTCCTTGTACTGCAGCTTTTTCTTCATGATTGCTTCTCTTAAACTTACACCGCTAAGTGCCACTTCTCAAGCAACCAGGTGACGATGATAGCCTCGTTAGATGGTAGTCAAGATTGACATAGGTAACGATGCTTTCTATAAACATTTGGGGCTTCATTTATCAGAGGCGTCGGTTGTGTCGCGATAAAAACAATAGATTTCCTCGACCATTTCGCTCACTTATTCAGCGAATTAATACC